GTGCCGTGAAGAATCGTCGCGCTCTCGGCGACATCGGAAATCTCGTTTCTGTCCCCGTGGTTCAAGGAGGAAAGCCCCAACCTCCGATCAACAGACCCATCACTCGAAGCTTCCGTGCTCAGCTCTTAGCGAATGCCCAAAACGAGAGGAACCCAATCAACGTCGTAGACAACAACAAGGCTCCGGTTCTCGCCCCGAAGAAACGCCAGCCTCTTGTTCCAAAGAACCCTGAAGCTCCAAGAGCGAACCAGAAGAAGAATCTGGTGATTAAGCTAAACCCTAAAGTTGAGACTAAGAAGGAGGAGAAGCTAGCAGAGTCGTCGCCTAAGAACAAGAAAGCCACTACATACTCGTCTGTTCTCAGTGCTCGGAGCAAAGCTGCTTGTGGTATCACCAACAAGCCAAAGATTGTGGATATCGATGAGTCTGACAAAGGTAACCATTTGGCTGCGGTGGAGTATGTTGATGATATGTACTCGTACTACAAAGAGGTCGAGAAGGAGAGTCAGCCTCAGATGTATATGCACATTCAGACTGATATGAATGAGAAGATGAGAGCCATCTTGATTGATTGGTTATTGGAAGTCCACATCAAGTTTGAGCTTAACCTTGAAACTTTCTACCTCACTGTCAACATCATTGATCGGTTCCTCTCTGTGAAAGCTGTCCCCAAGAGAGAGTTGCAGCTGGTGGGAATCAGTGCCTTGCTCATTGCTTCCAAGTATGAAGAAATCTGGCCACCACAGGTACTTGTATAGTTTTTTTAGAAATTGATGTTGAGGAGTGATTGTGTTTGCGTGTTACTGATTTGGTGTGATGTGTAGGTGAATGATTTGGTGTACGTGACAGACAATGCTTACAACAACAAGCAGATTCTGGTGATGGAGAAAACTATCCTTGGAAACCTCGAATGGTATTTGACAGTCCCAACTCAATACGTCTTCCTTGTCCGCTTCATCAAAGCTTCGATTTCTGATCTAGAGGTGAGTGGATTTTGGATTGAAAGCTTTGATCTTTCTTAACATTTAGATTGGAAAGAGACTGATTTTGGTTTTGTTGTGTTTTGCTGCTTTCTAGATGGAGAATATGGTTCACTTTCTTGCTGAATTGGGGATGATGCATTATGAGACCTTGAAGTTCTGTCCCTCCATGCTTGCTGCTTCAGCTGTTTACACCGCGAGGTGCGCATTGAACAAGTCCCCTGCTTGGACTGATACATTGAAGTTCCACACCGGCTACTCTGAGTCTGAGATTATGTAAGAACAGAAACGACTTTTAAATATCATCATCATCGTCATCTGGTTTGAGTCTGAGATACTTATGTGGCTTTTCTTTGTTGTTGTGTTGTAGGGATTGCTCAAAGCTTCTAGCTTTTCATCACTCGAGGTGCGGAGAGAGCAGGTTGCGTGCTGTGTACAAGAAGTATTCAAAGGCAGAGAAAGGAGGTGTTGCTATGGTTTCAGCAGCCAAGTCTCTCTTGAGCGCTGATGATTTGAAGAAGCCTGTTTCTGCTTAAGATGGAGAAAGAGCATCATCAATAAGACATTGTTTTTTCATCAGATCTCTCTCTGATTTAAATTTGGTTTCGACTTGTTATAAAACTCTCTTTGTTACGAGTTCAAAAGTATGAATGAAGAAGTCTCTTATCTGTGTTGTTCTATAATCATCCTTGCAAATCTTCTGATTTTTACATTTCCACCTCTATCCATAGAGATCTTATGCTTCTTCCAACTTAATTGCATTTTTTTGTAACGAGATTATCACTTAAAAGTGTACTTATCCCATCTGATAATTTTGTTTCAATCTTCTTAAATGTCTTTATCTATTATAATCTCATTTTATCAACAACCTTTATGATCTCATTTAATTAAGTAAATTTTAATTTCATCAAATCTCATAGCTAAAAGAGAAGGGATAGTTGAATATTACAAAATATAATCTGTTGAGTAAAATTCGTTTTTAAGCTAAAATCTTGAAAGGTTTCTCACTTGGTACACCGAAAGTTCAACAAAAACACGTGAATATTTTGTTGACAAGAATTACAAAACCTGCCACTAGGAGAATTTTGACTAAACCGGTTTTCGATCTCACGGGTTGTTTCCATGGAGAGCACGGAGCAGCCGAGAAGCGTTTCGGGATCGATGCAGAGCCCTAGATCTCCGCCTTCTCAGCCGTATTTGTCAGTCTCCGTCACCGATCCTGTCAAATTAGGCAATGGCGTTCAATCTTACATCTCTTACAGAGTCGTCACCAAGGTTTAGATCCTTCTTCAACCCTGATTCGTAACTCCCATACTAGGATTTATATGTGAAAATTGTGTATTCCAAATGATGAATCGCTGATTTTGTTGTTGCGGAACTGTCGAATTGTATGATAAGCAGCTAGAATTGGGGAATAATTATGGTGTTCCGTGAATTTTGTTCTCTACGGATTCATTTCTGACGGATTATTTGTTTTTTCTTCCCGGCAGACCAACTTCCCGGAGTATCAAGGACCCGAGAAGATCGTTATCAGAAGATACAGTGATTTCGTCTGGTTGCGGGATCGGCTTTCTGAGAAATTCAAGGGCATTTTCATTCCTCCTCTCCCAGAGAAGAGTGCTGTAGGTAAATTAGCTACCTTTACCATTTCTGGCTTCATAATTTGTATCTCTTAGGTAAATTAGTTTAGAAGTCAGTACCTTTTCTATTGCTCTTGTCAAAAGTATGCTTCGTTGATACATACATCTCTATCTATGGAGTTGATTAATGGGTTTCAGTGATTATAGTATGACTACCATCATGAATGAGCCACTATATTGGGAATATGTTTATTAATACTCTTTTTGGCAGAAAAATTCCGGTTCAGTGCCGAATTCATTGAAATGAGGCGAGCAGCATTGGATATATTTGTAAATCGGATAGCATTACACCCTGAGCTTCAGCAGAGTGAGGATCTTAGGACCTTTTTGCAAGCAGATGAAGAGGTATGATATCTGGACTTTACATTTCTGGCGATTTTTTTTCCGAATTATTACACTTTTCCTCCGCAGCATCTTCACTTAAGAAAGAATGCCTCGTAAAATTGCATTTATTGCCTCCCTGAGAGACTGCACTTTGCATTTTAGAAAGTTCTTGTCTTTGTTTGACAGTTTTCTTTCTCTTCAGACAATGGAAAGATTCAGGTTTCAGGAAACTGGTATATTCATGAAGAAGCCTGCTGATCTAATGCAAATGTTTAGGGTAAGCTATGATATTTCCTGACCATGTAAAAAGATGTATTCAACATCATACAAGACCCAGTAGTGGATACATGTTGGGATGCTAGTAGTAGTAGCAAACTCGATATGAATTTTCCGGTGCTCCATTATCTTATTGCCATATCTGCACAATTGACAGGATGTGCAATCAAAAGTTAGTGATGCTGTCCTCGGGAAGGAAAAACCTGTGGAAGAAACTACTCCTGAATATGAGAAGCTTAAACACTACATCTTCGAGCTTGAGAACCACTTAGCTGAGGCTCAGAAGCATGCATATCGCCTCGTCAAGAGGCATAGAGGTAATAACAATTTATCTAGTCAGAAATTAATCTATAAAAAATTCTCTTTTATTTTCCATTTTTTCTTTCCCAATCGCATGGATGGGTCTTCAACTTTGATGCTTTATCTACCTGATGGCAGAGTTGGGTCAGTCACTGTTGGATTTTGGCAAGGCTGTAAAACTTCTTGGGGCTTGCGAGGGTGAACCTACAGGCAAAGCATTTTCAGATCTTGGAACTAAATCCGAGCTGTTATCGATCAAGCTCCAGAAAGAGGTACTAACTTTGCAACATTAAACGCATCTTCTTTCATCTTTCAACATTTGCATATACACTACTGCGGGTAGATGTTATATTGATCTACCCTGCACTATTTGTAGGCTCAACAAGTCCTGATGAACTTTGAGGAACCCTTGAAGGACTATGTTCGTTATGTGCAATCGATTAAGGTGATTTCTCTAGCCTTTGCCTTTGGGATTTCATTTTCTTGCCTTGTTTGCGTTTTGAACACTATACATCTCTTGACATTAAACTCTTATTCTCTTGTTTCCGTTTGTGTGTTTAACCAGGCCACCATAGCAGAACGAGGCACTGCTTTCAGGCAACATTGTGAATTGGCAGAAACAACAAAGTTAAAGGAAATAAACCTGTATGATATGCTTCTCTCCCGTATATCTTGTCTCCGTCAATAAGATTGCCTTGGAACATTCTATAAATTCTCCTCTGTTATTGCAGTGACAAACTAATGCTCACACGTTCCGACAAAGTAGGAGAAGCTGAGATCGAATACAGAGAGGTAAACAACAACAAATGCCCAGCTTAATCTTTGTAGTAATGATTTATCTCGACCATAGCTTGCTTTAACTCGAAAATATTGCAGACGAAAGCAGAAAGTGAGGAAGCTACACGAAGATTTGAGATGATAGTGAGGAGAATGAATGAAGAGATAGTGAGGTTCCAAGAAGAGAAGACGGAAGAGATGGGAGTAGCGTTCCATCAGTTTGCAAAAGGACAAGCTCGCTTAGCAAACGGCATTGCTGATGCCTGGAGAGCTCTTCTTCCCAAACTCGAATCTGCTTCTTCTGTTTAAATAAAAAAAAAGTACCCTGTGTCTGTGTGTGTTGGTTTGGTTTCTAACAATTCTGGTGTTTTTGTCAACTTCAAGTTTTAGTTAACGTCCGTCGCTCATGTCATTTCCTTCCACTTGTAAAGATATATACATATATGCATTTTTCATGTACTTTTAATTTTAGATTTAACTTCCATCGTATGTTGAATCTTAGAGATCTCAATCAAGTCATATACTGCATTGGCTTGTTCATTCAGAGTACCGAATTATCTAAAAAAAAAAAAAAAATTGTTGTCTTTTAAAAGGTGTTGTTTTATACAGAAAGAGTAACCTTTGGCATCATTCGGAGTGTTCCTCTCAGCCAAAAAGGCTTTGAATTATCCAAAGACTGACAAGAAAAAGCGTGGCCGAGAAGATGACGTGCTTCTCTTCTGCTACTCCTCATCGCCATCATCTTCTTCTTCCTCCGTCAACCTCCAAATCTCTACTCCGATCACCCTCATCTTATCTCAAACCTAGCCCACATCTTCTGTTACATGGCTCTTCTCGCTCTATCCTCTGCTGTTCTGCTGGCAGCAACAACGGACCTCCTCCCTCCGGTGACGCTGTTCCAAAGCAAGTTCCCTCTCATTTTCTCTAATCGATTTATTTTGTCTTGGAATTTGAGGTTTCCTCTGCGAATTTCAGAGTAACCTGTCGATTAGGGATGATACTGGAATTTAGAAATGATGGGGAACCTTGTAGTTATGTGTATGATCCTCTGTAGTATATAATAGCAATTATCATTGTTGATGATTTTTAATCGTTTTTGGTGATGGTGGTTCAGTAACTTCTGTATCATTGAGGGATCAGAGACAGTCCAAGATTTCGTGCAGATGCAGGTTCAGGAGATCCAAGACAACATAAGGAGTAGACGCAATAAGATATTTCTCCTCATGGAGGAAGTGAGGAGGTTACGAGTTCAGCAACGGATTAAGAGTGTTAAAGCCATCAACGAGTACAGTGAGCTCGAAGTTTCTGAGATGCCTGAGATTACATCTTCCATTCCCTTTCTTCCCAACGTGGTTAGTTTACTTTCTTTGAATTGACGGACGAAACACATTGTATATTATAAAGTTTATAACTTTTTTTTCATCTTTTTTGCTTTGTCTGCTCTTGTCTTTTGAAATAGACACCAAAGACTCTGAAACAACTCTACTTGACCAGCGTTGCATTTATATCCGGAATCATCTTCTTTGGTGGTCTCATTGCACCTAATGTAAGTAACAAGAAAAAAGTCTACTTTTCCTTCCTTGTGTTCTCTTGTGAGTTACGACAAACATCAAAGCTCTAGTTTTTGTTCTTTTGTTTGTAAGTCAATGTTTTTTCACACTGCAATCTTGGTTTACCACCGCCCTTGGAAACCTACTAACCTTACATTTATGCACGATATTGAGCTATTCTGCAGAATTTATGGGGTAGTTAGAGAAGGAACCATTGGCACTTCAATATGAAAAAAACATGATTTTGTTGATAGCAGCACAGATTTGTAGAGATTAGTAATGTACTCTTGGTTTTTCCATTCAGTTTTGGTCATGTAACTCTCATAGAAAAAACTTGAGTTATGGTTAAACTTGAACATCACTATAGAAGCGCATATGTTCTAGAAAGCCAGTCACTTTTCAGTATTTATTATTCTTGAATGAAAAAATGATGATTTTAAATGGCAGCTGGAGCTCAAGGTAGGACTAGGAGGAACCTCATATGAAGATTTTATTAGGAGCTTGCATCTACCCCTGCAATTAAGGTACTACTAGTAGTTGATTTGCTTGAGGATTAGTCTACATCAAACCAGTATGATATGATCGAAAAATATGACCAAACTAGTCAACTTTAGTGGTCCTGAATCTGAAACAGCGACATAGAAATAATGCTCTTTTCGGGTTTTGTTGGAATCCAGCCAAGTAGATCCCATTGTGGCATCTTTTTCTGGCGGAGCCGTGGGTGTCATTTCGACCTTGATGCTAATCGAAGTGAACAATGTTAAACAGCAAGAGAAGAAGAGGTGCAAGTACTGCCTTGGGACTGGTAATTTTCGTATATATCAGTCTCATGGATTACAATGAAACTTCTTCTTGTAACAACTTCTTAAATGGTCTGTGTTTTGCTTGATCCGTCATATAGGATACTTGCCATGCGCTCGATGTTCAGCAAGTGGTGTGTGCTTAAGCATTGATCCCATAAAACGAACTAGAGCTTCAAACCAGCTTCTGCAAGCCCCGACAACAGTAAGGTGTCTAAATTGTTCCCAAAAGGTCCATTTGATGTTCCTCCCTTGGATTGAGACCGTTTCACTCATGTTTGTCCTCATAGTCATGTGTAGAACCTATTAATCCATGTTTGGGTAAGTATGGGTCCATCTAGTTCATCTTATACACTACAAGTGAGTTTCCACAATGTGGAGTCACAGAGGTACATTTCGGACTCCTTACCTCTTCCGGTTCCCAAATTAGGTCCATTTGATGTTCCTCCCTTGGATTGAGACCGTTTCACTCATGTTTGTCCTCATAGTCATGTGTAGAACCTATTAATCCATGTTTGGGTAAGTATGGGTCCATCTAGTTCATCTTATACACTACAAGTGAGTTTCCACAATGTGGAGTCACAGAGGTACATTTCGGACTCCTTACCTCTTCCGGTTCCCAAATTAGGTCCATTTGATGTTCCTCCCTTGGATTGAGACCGTTTCACTCATGTTTGTCCTCATAGTCATGTGTAGAACCTATTAATCCATGTTTGGGTAAGTATGGGTCCATCTAGTTCATCTTATACACTACAAGTGAGTTTCCACAATGTGGAGTCACAGAGGTACATTTCGGACTCCTTACCTCTTCCGGTTCCCAAATTAGGTCCATTTGATGTTCCTCCCTTGGATTGAGACCGTTTCACTCATGTTTGTCCTCATAGTCATGTGTAGAACCTATTAATCCATGTTTGGGTAAGTATGGGTCCATCTAGTTCATCTTATACACTACAAGTGAGTTTCCACAATGTGGAGTCACAGAGGTACATTTCGGACTCCTTACCTCTTCCGGTTCCCAAATTAGGTCCATTTGATGTTCCTCCCTTGGATTGAGACCGTTTCACTCATGTTTGTCCTCATAGTCATGTGTAGAACCTATTAATCCATGTTTGGGTAAGTATGGGTCCATCTAGTTCATCTTATACACTACAAGTGAGTTTCCACAATGTGGAGTCACAGAGGTACATTTCGGACTCCTTACCTCTTCCGGTTCCCAAATTAGGTCCATTTGATGTTCCTCCCTTGGATTGAGACCGTTTCACTCATGTTTGTCCTCATAGTCATGTGTAGAACCTATTAATCCATGTTTGGGTAAGTATGGGTCCATCTAGTTCATCTTATACACTACAAGTGAGTTTCCACAATGTGGAGTCACAGAGGTACATTTCGGACTCCTTACCTCTTCCGGTTCCCAAATTAGGTCCATTTGATGTTCCTCCCTTGGATTGAGACCGTTTCACTCATGTTTGTCCTCATAGTCATGTGTAGAACCTATTAATCCATGTTTGGGTAAGTATGGGTCCATCTAGTTCATCTTATACACTACAAGTGAGTTTCCACAATGTGGAGTCACAGAGGTACATTTCGGACTCCTTACCTCTTCCGGTTCCCAAATTAGGTCCATTTGATGTTCCTCCCTTGGATTGAGACCGTTTCACTCATGTTTGTCCTCATAGTCATGTGTAGAACCTATTAATCCATGTTTGGGTAAGTATGGGTCCATCTAGTTCATCTTATACACTACAAGTGAGTTTCCACAATGTGGAGTCACAGAGGTACATTTCGGACTCCTTACCTCTTCCGGTTCCCAAATTAGGTCCATTTGATGTTCCTCCCTTGGATTGAGACCGTTTCACTCATGTTTGTCCTCATAGTCATGTGTAGAACCTATTAATCCATGTTTGGGTAAGTATGGGTCCATCTAGTTCATCTTATACACTACAAGTGAGTTTCCACAATGTGGAGTCACAGAGGTACATTTCGGACTCCTTACCTCTTCCGGTTCCCAAATTAGGTCCATTTGATGTTCCTCCCTTGGATTGAGACCGTTTCACTCATGTTTGTCCTCATAGTCATGTGTAGAACCTATTAATCCATGTTTGGGTAAGTATGGGTCCATCTAGTTCATCTTATACACTACAAGTGAGTTTCCACAATGTGGAGTCACAGAGGTACATTTCGGACTCCTTACCTCTTCCGGTTCCCAAATTAGGTCCATTTGATGTTCCTCCCTTGGATTGAGACCGTTTCACTCATGTTTGTCCTCATAGTCATGTGTAGAACCTATTAATCCATGTTTGGGTAAGTATGGGTCCATCTAGTTCATCTTATACACTACAAGTGAGTTTCCACAATGTGGAGTCACAGAGGTACATTTCGGACTCCTTACCTCTTCCGGTTCCCAAATTAGGTCCATTTGATGTTCCTCCCTTGGATTGAGACCGTTTCACTCATGTTTGTCCTCATAGTCATGTGTAGAACCTATTAATCCATGTTTGGGTAAGTATGGGTCCATCTAGTTCATCTTATACACTACAAGTGAGTTTCCACAATGTGGAGTCACAGAGGTACATTTCGGACTCCTTACCTCTTCCGGTTCCCAAATTAGGTCCATTTGATGTTCCTCCCTTGGATTGAGACCGTTTCACTCATGTTTGTCCTCATAGTCATGTGTAGAACCTATTAATCCATGTTTGGGTAAGTATGGGTCCATCTAGTTCATCTTATACACTACAAGTGAGTTTCCACAATGTGGAGTCACAGAGGTACATTTCGGACTCCTTACCTCTTCCGGTTCCCAAATTAGGTCCATTTGATGTTCCTCCCTTGGATTGAGACCGTTTCACTCATGTTTGTCCTCATAGTCATGTGTAGAACCTATTAATCCATGTTTGGGTAAGTATGGGTCCATCTAGTTCATCTTATACACTACAAGTGAGTTTCCACAATGTGGAGTCACAGAGGTACATTTCGGACTCCTTACCTCTTCCGGTTCCCAAATTAGGTCCATTTGATGTTCCTCCCTTGGATTGAGACCGTTTCACTCATGTTTGTCCTCATAGTCATGTGTAGAACCTATTAATCCATGTTTGGGTAAGTATGGGTCCATCTAGTTCATCTTATACACTACAAGTGAGTTTCCACAATGTGGAGTCACAGAGGTACATTTCGGACTCCTTACCTCTTCCGGTTCCCAAATTAGGTCCATTTGATGTTCCTCCCTTGGATTGAGACCGTTTCACTCATGTTTGTCCTCATAGTCATGTGTAGAACCTATTAATCCATGTTTGGGTAAGTATGGGTCCATCTAGTTCATCTTATACACTACAAGTGAGTTTCCACAATGTGGAGTCACAGAGGTACATTTCGGACTCCTTACCTCTTCCGGTTCCCAAATTAGGTCCATTTGATGTTCCTCCCTTGGATTGAGACCGTTTCACTCATGTTTGTCCTCATAGTCATGTGTAGAACCTATTAATCCATGTTTGGGTAAGTATGGGTCCATCTAGTTCATCTTATACACTACAAGTGAGTTTCCACAATGTGGAGTCACAGAGGTACATTTCGGACTCCTTACCTCTTCCGGTTCCCAAATTAGGTCCATTTGATGTTCCTCCCTTGGATTGAGACCGTTTCACTCATGTTTGTCCTCATAGTCATGTGTAGAACCTATTAATCCATGTTTGGGTAAGTATGGGTCCATCTAGTTCATCTTATACACTACAAGTGAGTTTCCACAATGTGGAGTCACAGAGGTACATTTCGGACTCCTTACCTCTTCCGGTTCCCAAATTAGGTCCATTTGATGTTCCTCCCTTGGATTGAGACCGTTTCACTCATGTTTGTCCTCATAGTCATGTGTAGAACCTATTAATCCATGTTTGGGTAAGTATGGGTCCATCTAGTTCATCTTATACACTACAAGTGAGTTTCCACAATGTGGAGTCACAGAGGTACATTTCGGACTCCTTACCTCTTCCGGTTCCCAAATTAGGTCCATTTGATGTTCCTCCCTTGGATTGAGACCGTTTCACTCATGTTTGTCCTCATAGTCATGTGTAGAACCTATTAATCCATGTTTGGGTAAGTATGGGTCCATCTAGTTCATCTTATACACTACAAGTGAGTTTCCACAATGTGGAGTCACAGAGGTACATTTCGGACTCCTTACCTCTTCCGGTTCCCAAATTAGGTCCATTTGATGTTCCTCCCTTGGATTGAGACCGTTTCACTCATGTTTGTCCTCATAGTCATGTGTAGAACCTATTAATCCATGTTTGGGTAAGTATGGGTCCATCTAGTTCATCTTATACACTACAAGTGAGTTTCCACAATGTGGAGTCACAGAGGTACATTTCGGACTCCTTACCTCTTCCGGTTCCCAAATTAGGTCCATTTGATGTTCCTCCCTTGGATTGAGACCGTTTCACTCATGTTTGTCCTCATAGTCATGTGTAGAACCTATTAATCCATGTTTGGGTAAGTATGGGTCCATCTAGTTCATCTTATACACTACAAGTGAGTTTCCACAATGTGGAGTCACAGAGGTACATTTCGGACTCCTTACCTCTTCCGGTTCCCAAATTAGGTCCATTTGATGTTCCTCCCTTGGATTGAGACCGTTTCACTCATGTTTGTCCTCATAGTCATGTGTAGAACCTATTAATCCATGTTTGGGTAAGTATGGGTCCATCTAGTTCATCTTATACACTACAAGTGAGTTTCCACAATGTGGAGTCACAGAGGTACATTTCGGACTCCTTACCTCTTCCGGTTCCCAAATTAGGTCCATTTGATGTTCCTCCCTTGGATTGAGACCGTTTCACTCATGTTTGTCCTCATAGTCATGTGTAGAACCTATTAATCCATGTTTGGGTAAGTATGGGTCCATCTAGTTCATCTTATACACTACAAGTGAGTTTCCACAATGTGGAGTCACAGAGGTACATTTCGGACTCCTTACCTCTTCCGGTTCCCAAATTAGGTCCATTTGATGTTCCTCCCTTGGATTGAGACCGTTTCACTCATGTTTGTCCTCATAGTCATGTGTAGAACCTATTAATCCATGTTTGGGTAAGTATGGGTCCATCTAGTTCATCTTATACACTACAAGTGAGTTTCCACAATGTGGAGTCACAGAGGTACATTTCGGACTCCTTACCTCTTCCGGTTCCCAAATTAGGTCCATTTGATGTTCCTCCCTTGGATTGAGACCGTTTCACTCATGTTTGTCCTCATAGTCATGTGTAGAACCTATTAATCCATGTTTGGGTAAGTATGGGTCCATCTAGTTCATCTTATACACTACAAGTGAGTTTCCACAATGTGGAGTCACAGAGGTACATTTCGGACTCCTTACCTCTTCCGGTTCCCAAATTAGGTCCATTTGATGTTCCTCCCTTGGATTGAGACCGTTTCACTCATGTTTGTCCTCATAGTCATGTGTAGAACCTATTAAT